GCGGCGGCCAACCCCGGACGCCCCACGGCTGTCCCCCTGCCGGCTTGCTCCCCGGCTTTGCTCCCCGTCTACCTGGTCTGCTGGTCTCCAGCAGACCAGGGAGACGCGGAGCAACCCCCGTTCGTAACGGCGGATCCGACATAAGTTGGATCCGTGTAACTTGGGGACTGCCTGTACTTAGGTATAACCTAGGGTTACATTATGTCAGACAGGAAAATAATGAGATAACAAGAAAGGGACATGGTTACAGCATCTATCCAAATGCAAAGCATTTTTCTTACCTCACAAACTATTGGAGGTACTGAAGTCCATTGATTTATATTTTAGCTCTGCAAGTATGATTATGAGATTTACAGTTGGAGTAGTTTTAAAATATGAAAAATGCAAGGAAGTGAAAAGGGGTGAAATGGAGTTTGTCAGGTTCTTAGTAGTGATGAACTATGATACTGTACTCCCTCTGGTTCAATAAATGGTGCTAGAAATCCCACAAGAAAAGATCTACACTATGTTTTATGCCATAATATACATCAATTAATTCACATGCAAACCATTTTAATAAATTGAGATTTTATTTTACGATAGAAATGTACTTTACATATTTTTTCATTTGCTATTTATTCTTCTTCCAGTGTTAGAGAACATGAAGAAAGCATTACGCCTCATTCAGACTGAACTGTAACTTGTACCACTGAAATCACCATAACCTCTACGAGGTGAAATGGTCCATGGAACCGCTCCATCATTTGAAATACACTCATTAGCTAATTTGTCTGTATTAGCATTTAAACCTTACAGCAATGTGTGATGGTACCCAGAATTTCATATGAAAACATACCTATATTTCTCAAAAACTTAAAAACAACAACACACAGTTCTGCAGCACCTTAGAGACTAAGGTTTTTGTCTCTAAAAGGCTGTAGAAGTTTGTTGTTTTTTATTTTTTTTCAGTTAGATTAACATGGCTGCCCCTGTAATATATTTTCCAGATATGTATAACACTTTTGAAAGTGAAAGAAATATTTAGAAAAGATTATCAGAAATATAAAACATGTAAAACATTGCCTTCATAGATAATTCAGAGGAATGGTAAAAAGAGGCAGAAAGAACATTAGAATTCTAAGTCACTGATTCAAATCTGGTCCAGTTATTTTTGAACAGAAGTTGTAACCCACCCCAGCTGAGGACTGCTTGGTAGTTTATGCAAGTTAATAACCTCAGCTCAGCTTTTTATTCTATACTTTGTGTAGGTTTTTAGTGCAACCCAGGTTTAGTCTCCTGTTTCTAGCTATCAGGGGGAGGGGCTTTGTGGAGAAGGTCAGAAGACATTTCCTAGAGAGGCTGCAGCAAATAGAATCTTCATTTTAACTTTTCAATAGAAGCTTAGTTGACTGTATAGAAGTGGCTCTTCTCTTTATGTCCAGCATTCTTCTGTACGGTTATGAGGCCTGTTAAAAGCAGAAAGCATACTTGCTGCTGAATAGATGTCTAATGTGTCTAAGAGCGTACAGTATGGACTCCAGTCATGTAAAATTCAGCAAAATCTAAATAAAAGGCCTTTGGGTTTGAGGAAAATACACGAGTGCAATGGGGTAGAAGGAAGGCATTCTCAGCCTCAGCAAACTTCAGGGCCATAACACCCAGACATAAGAAAATAAGAACATCTATACTGGATCAGATTAAAGGTCTATTCAGCCCAGTATCCTGTCTTCCAACAGTTTCTAATAGCAGGTGTCCAAGAGAGAATGAATGGTACAGGCCATCCCCCTGTCACTCATGCCAAGCTTCAGACAAACAGAAGCTAGGGATTCCATCCTTGCCCATCCTGGCTAGTAGCCATTGACCGACCTATCCTCCATGATGTATCTAGTTCTTTTTTTTTAAACCTTGTTATAGTCTTGACATGTCTCTAGCAAAGAGTTCCACAGGTTGATTATGAAGACATACTGTGTTTTAAACCAGCTGCCTACTAATTTTATGTGTTGTTTGAAACAATCCACCTGCAGCCAGTTTACTGTAAAGGTTTGGGGTAGGGAGACCTAGCAGACATGCCCCATGCACCTCTCCTTAGGAGGATCTGAGTCATGTGGACCAAACACACTGGTCTTGTCACATGTGCTTATGACATGCACATGCCCCCTTCTCCACAGTCTTCTGCAGAGGCCCATCTCAGATGCCATTCCAGAAGGACAGAAAGGAGATCAGAGGTCTCTTGGGCTAGTTCTCCAGGGACAACTGTGCAGTAGGAATATACAGGAGCAGCTCTGTGTAATGGTGTATATGGCTGATGTCAATAGATGTATGACAATTTACACCTAGCAAGGTTCTCCCATAATTTCTGCTGTGCTTGTACGTGGCTCACCAAAGCAAGTCAGCAGATGTTTCATACTATGACGAGAGCAAGAACATGACCTGTCATATTAGTGGTCTGGTACAAAGCATAGTGCCCTTTGTAGCTGCAATTTCCCATTTTGTACAATGTTGCCTGCATGAAAATGTGAGAAAGCAAGTAGAAGTACTCTGCAAGTCTGTTTAGGACCCACATATCTGTTTTTAAATTTACAGTACAAACACAGACTCACTTGTTAAGAAATAATTAAGTTACTCCTAGTAATAAAGTAAAATGTTATTTATAAGGAGAGCAGCTCTTATAACCGAGTTGGAGAGAGACTTGGTGAGAATGTATGCTTAAAGAAAAAAAAACAATTTCTTACATTATTCGCCATTAGTACATGATCTCGACAACCAGTGAAATGTATTTTGTGCCTGTAGGAAGATGTTGAAAATAAAATTGTTCAGTATGTTCCTCCTACCTCTTTGGGGTTTTATTCATTTGATAAAAAACTTTGAATTCTGTTTGAGGCATGGGAAATCCAGAGAATAGCCAGAATACTAGGATCTAAAGTGGTATTGCTTTGCTGTCATTTTCGAGTACCGTGATTAGACCAGAAAGCCAACTACATTCTGGGGCCAGCAGGAAATATACCCAGCAATCATAATGACTTCCACTCCACCAGTGAGAGTCTGTGAATGAAATAAATGGAAGAGCACATTTCATGGGAAAATGTAACATCAAATGTTTAGTACTTGGTTTATGTGTTTTAAGAATCTGTGAACAAAAGAAAGCTGACACTAACATTTGTAAGGCTGACAGAGCTGATCATACAAGACTGTAGTCATGCATGCATCTCAATCCCTATGTATTCAGACAGTGCATAAAGCTTGAATGCCCTTTCCTTGTTACGTCATCCATACACTAATATAAAGAAAACAGCTAAACTGTGCTTCAAGACTGCTTGAAGTTTATACGTGTGAACATTCTTCTGTTGTCTGCCTTTTATTGGAAAATATAAAAACACATGTACATTGAAAATAAACCCAAATCATCTCTGCTGAATGTTATAATGATATAACTTAAAAGAAGAAAACCATGGACCCTGAATGTGATTACCCCAGGGTTACTCAGAATACAAGAACATATAAGAAGTGCTCAGTTACCTCATATCAATCGTCCCTGAATATTTTCGTTAATAACCATTGATGTACCTATCCTCCACCAACATATGTAGTTCTTTTTTGAACCCAGTTATATTTTGATTATCACAATGTCCCATAGCAATGAGTTCCACAGGTTAGTTATGTGAAAAAGTACTTCCTCTTGTTTGCATTAAACCTGATGCCTATTAATTTAATTGGGTGAACCCTGATTTTATATTATAGGAAAGGGTAAATAAAAAATATCTGTTCATTTTCCTTGGGAACAACTCCACTGAAGTCAATGGTGTTGTTTCTTTTGATTTATAAAGAATTCTTTTAAAAGTGCCTATAGATGGTTCTAAGCAACTCTGCCATGAGTTCAAAATACAAATCCTCACTTTAAGTTAAAGGAGAATTGGGCCTACTATCTATATACTAAATTTTGCATAATTCCAAAACCAAACAGAATCCTGAGAAAAGAGATTTAATCAGGTTCTACATTAAAAGCCACTTTTAAGAATTCAGTTTAGCATCCTTGCAACAAGGCAAATGTATTTTTTCCATCTTTGGTAACCTTTTTATAACTATTCTTTCTAGAGGGCAAATATTTGCAGCTGTTACATGCAAGCTGAATGCTATTGTCAGCTTCATTCTCAAGGGCTCAGGCTACACCAGCTAGCGCTAAAAAGCAGAAAGCCCCTCCCCCACCAAAAGTCCAAAATCAAAGACCTTGCAACATTAATCCTTTGACTACTAATGTTCCCCTTGTACTCTCCACTATCAGAAGTGGGTCCATTAAAAGATATTACCTCACCCACCATGTCCTCCTCATATCCTGGGACCAAGACAGCTATCACCACCCTAAACAACACACCCTTACACCTGTGGTGGCCAGTCAACCATAAACATGTCATTGAAATCAACCGCCTATGGCTTGTGCATTTAGTAGCAGGGCAAAATCATTCCACAGGGACATACATGGAATATTTAGAGACAGGCATCTATGTAATTTTACTTTAAAATATGCATTAGCTCTGGACACTAAGACTATCTCTGTCATGTTGCCAGCAGACATGTGGGATCCAAATCCAATGCATACAAGAAAGAATTCATGCAACAATAAGGTTGGGCAGCTTCAGAATAATTACATCAATTAATAGTCTAATTGCATCGTTAACTCAATTCTGTTCCACACCATGCATGTTTTATAGCATAATTTACCAATGGAGTTAGTAGCAGCAAGGCTTTTCATAATAGCACAAACATGCAATGCAGCCAAGAGCTTCCCATTACACATTTTTTTGTACAGATTTCAGCTGCCCAACTCTCAGACAGGGTTTGTGGAATACTCCCTGCTGGAAGTGGTGAGGAGTTCAACTGGTAAAAGTAGCAGCTCTGGCAGGTGCAGGGCTTAAGGCAGGCTCTTCTCTGTAAGACAGTGGACTACCACTGGAAATGATGCAGCCTTCACTCCCCTCCACAGCAAGCCAGTGCTCTTGGCCAATTGAGGGGAGTGGAACAAGGACATGATCCACCCCTTTTACAAAGGCTAGTGCTAATGGCAGTGGTAGCCCCAAAGACACTTTATGGTCCCTGAATGCAAAACATCCCATTGAGCATGGCTTCTGCCAGGGTAATGATACAGAAGGTGGCCTTCCTGAGCTTTAACAAGCATCTCATCTATTCCTGATCCATGAATATTAAAACTACTTGAAGACGCACCAGGTGTTGCCTGGGTCCTTAAGGGTGGCGATGTAGGGAGGAGGGTGGTATAGGAGTGAGGGCAAGGCCTTGGAGCTGTGGGGGGCAGGGCAGGAGGCTGTAGATATGGGGCTGCAGAAGTCAGGTTGGGGTTTGAGGAGGGGCTTTGGGCAGGGGGCTGAGGATGTGGGGGGGATCCTAAGAGTGAGGGCTGGGGGGGTGAGAAAGGGCTTAGGGGATCCTATCTAGCAGGATTTTCTCTCTCCCTCGGCCTGCAGGGCCTTTTCTCCCTCCCTCAACCCCTCTGGTCGGCAGGGATCTTCTCTCACCCCCCCACCCTCAGTGCTCCTCAGCCGGCAGGGGCCTTTCCCCTTTTTTTTTGTTAGGTGGGGGGGTATCACCTTGAAGCAGAACTTGGGTCTGTGGCACGGTGGGGCTACTTATCCAGTCTGGTAGCAGGCAAGATGGCAAGCCCCAGCCCTGCTGGCCACACTCTTGCCCCCAATGATCACTCTGCAGTATATCTCTCCCCTCTGCTCCCTGTCCCTAGTGGCAACACTCAAGATCGTGGTCCTCCAAACAGCCCCATCCCTTCCACGTTATGAAAAACAATCCCATTCCAGGCACTTCCCATTTTCCTGGCACAACCAAACCCTGACTTACTTTAAGTTAGGATAAGAGAAAGCTGCCTACAAAATGTGGTGGTTCTAGATCTTACCATTGAGGAGGGGTTCTTGAACAGACTCAGACAGACATTTCTAAAGTAGATGATAGATAACCGCTCATGTCACTAGTTAGGGAGCCTTGCAATCCCTGCTATTGCATGTTAAACCACTTTATGAAACAGTTTATTTTGGTTATTGGTGTATCTTATATACAAAGCCATTCCTCCCTTTCTGAATAACTCTTTAAATTCCTAACCCCTCTCTCAACCCAGCCTTTCCTATCAAAAATACTCATTTCACCCAACAGAAATAAGTCATTGTTAGAGCTGGACAAAACTTTTCATTTGAAAACTTTTTCCACAGAAAAATGCAGATTTGGGTTGACCAAAGCAATTCATGCATTTGAGTCCATTTTGATAAATTTTTCCTGCAGAAAAAGAAAAAAAGTCAGATGTTGAATCAGTTTATTTTGGTATTCCTAAAAGAAAATGTTCTGATGTCTTCTTTCAGAAAGAGGATTCATTTGGGGGTTTCCCTGGCTTTTATTTAAAATATTTAAAATTTTGAAACAACACATTTTGGTCTGAATCATTTTTCAACATTTCACTTCCATGTTTGTTTAGCTTTAAGTGGCGTACTAGCTTGAAGGTCCTATTTCTGATTTAATCTTCTTTATTCGGTCCCTTTAATTATCAGGCTCAATTCTGCCCTTGGTTGTAGTCTTGCAAGCTAATTAACTTCATCCCAGGACAATATGATTTTTAATTATGTTATGTATTGATGACATGTGACTAAATGCCCATTAAAATTTATTGACTATATGTAGTGGGACTAATTTACACAAGAAGCAAGAGTTGGGGCTATTATCATTATTCATATTACAGCAACACATGATTATGTGCAAAATGGTGTCAGACCTAAGAATGCATACTCTTTGCCCTAAAGAATTTGAATGTGAACATTAAAACTCAGCATCAACCTAAACAAATCACCAGCACAGCAGTCTATGGTGGAGAAGTAGCAAGTATCACGGACATGGTCATTGCTGATAATTCAGCCTCCTTTGGACATGAAAAACAAAGTGGCTAAGAATCAGATTAGATGCCAAAAACATTAACCTAAGTGTCAGGGGGTTCACACCCCCAGTGTGCCTCAGTGCCCCTTGACTGTCCTCATATGGCCCTTCTCAGGGCAAGTTACAGTCTGTATGGGTTGCTCATCATAGGCACTAAGCAGTATATAACGGGCCCTTTAAGCAAGGCCGAGTCCACAAAGCAGTTTACAACTGTTGTAGCGGGGCGCACCTCAGGTAGGGGGACCCGGGCCCACCCTACTCCACCAGGTCCCAGCCCAGGGCCCTGTGAGCAACCAGGTAACAGGTCACTCCCTCGGCAGGGCCATCCAGCCGAACGCACCGAGGTTCTCGGGCCAGGAGGGGCGGCTCCCACTCCTGCCCTGGGCCACTTCCTACCTGGATCCCCGGGCTTCCTTCCCCTGGACTCGTCCAGCTGGCTGCGATCTCCAGGCCGGCGTCCCCTCAGCCGGCAGTCTCCGGGTGGCGCCAACTTGCCTCCGCCTTCCTCCCAGCCCCTCCTGGAGTCCCTGGCAACCGCTGGGTAAGAGCTCCCTGCTCCAGTCCTTTTCTTTCGGCTGTCTCCCTCCAAAGAGATCCTGCTCACTCTGCAGTCAGCCCTCCACTAGCCTCCTTTAAGCAACCTGTGCTTCTCTATATATACCTGCCAGCTGGGCTCTCACTCCCCTAATGGGTTCAGCTGGCTTCCCCAAGCCAATTGTGCTGCCTTAGATAGTTGCTTGCCAGCTGGGCTCTCCCTGGCCCCCAATAGCTCCAGCTGGCCTCTTTCTTTCTAGCCCCGGCTCCGGGCCTGAGTCCTGGTCTTAAAGGGCCAGTGCAGGGCAGGCGCCCTGTCACAATAAGTAGATCAAAATACCTGTGACGGAGAGGGTCTAG